TACAGATTATATTTAACAGATTATATTTAAATTATATATTTAATCAGCTGATTATATTTAACTCATTTAGATAATATTTGTTCTTTTCATAGCCTACTTTTGTAGGTCTTTTGCCTTATTAGAATTTTAATTAATATTTTTTGCTTGCAGTATTCCTTTATGTCCATTCTTAGCCATATGTGTTTGTTTCTCCTTTTTAATGGATTCATTTTTGCTTTTTCAAACTCAATAGCTTTTGTTGCAGTCAAAGCAGTGTTGTCCTACATTTATCTTTATCTTTCATCACACCAGTTTGCCATGATAATTTTTTTTACCCAGTAAGTACTGGCACTGTTCTTCAGAACAACTTCCCAAAAGAAGTTATTCTGAAGAATAAGTCATTTGTACATCTGGCTTTTTGAGGATGAGAAAAACTGGCAAAATTCAATTTATATGGTGAAAAAGAAAACCCAAGTGTCCCTGACTTTTTTTGATTTCAGACAAGAAAACATGTTTTGGAAGCAATTTAATTGATACTTTTGGACCATTTTCAGTAACAGTTAATCTTCCTGAAGCACAGTATTTGGTATTACACCTTATTTTATCCAGCAGCATTATTTCAGTCTGATGGTTCTATGTAGAGGTTTTAGCTATCAAAGAGAAATCTTTATTGAATAGAAATGTTTCCTCAGGAGTTTTTTCCTAAAAAAAAAAACAAACCAAAATCCCCCCCCAAAATGGAATTATTAACGAAAACATAGTTTACACGGAGTTTCATCCTGGTAGATTCACATGATGGAATACTCTCTACTTCTGTGTTTGATTTTATCCAGCTGTGTCAACCTGCTTCAGATTATCTAATATAGAGCACAAATATTTTCTGTCTGCTACAAATTATGTAATATGTAGCACAAAGAAGAGTCAAAATACTCTACAATACCTGAGCTTCTGGTGTTTGGAGCAAAACCATAAATGCCTGATCTTTGGTATGACCCAGTCTGGCATCAGTTTCACTGAATGCATAAATTCTACTCTTAAGACAAGATCCTCAAATATTTATTGCTCCTGAAGACAAAAATATTTTCCACTAAAATGTATTTCTTAGTAAGTTTTCACAATAATTATAGTCTCCTTTTCTTTTTTCTCTCTTTTTTAGTTCTAAATTAAAGACACAAACTTTACCTCAGAGATCTGCATTTTTTTTCTGTTTCTATTTATGAACCTGGAGGACTAACAAAAGCATTTTGAACACTTTGCAAGAGGTCATCTACGCACTGCTGCTGTCAGTAGTATTTGAGTTTTCTTCTCATCTTCAAAAGATCCCAGCAGAAATTGGTTAAAAAAAGGGAGAGGAAAAGCTACAAAGCCTAGATCCTAACGAGTTTCTTCTTTAATACAGAATTTTTTTTTCTTTTTTATCATAATAGAATCACTATTTTTAAGCACGGTGGAGCATTGCCATATTGTCCCTCTGAGGGGTGACATTTCCAGTAACTTTTTGGTGTAATGCTGTCATTTGTCATTCCATACAGAGGTGAAGAAAAAGCAACATTGCTTCACAGACTTGGAGAAACATCCACAGAC